ATTCGGGTTGCGACGCTATCGTAGGAACGAATCTCCGTCGTAAGTCGAGGAACCTCTGTACGTTAGCATCGGCGACGCGACCATTCAGTAAGATGCTTACCATGATGTCTTTATAAAAAAAAAAAAAAAAAAATCGAAGAAAAAATCTGGATATTAGAGTAGGGAGAGGTTATTTAATATTTATGCTATGGGCAAACAAAGACTCCATTATTTTTTTTTATCATAATGGCTATTACATATAATTTGCTTCACTTTTCTCATTTTCAGATTTATCAAAAGTATTATTGTTATCTCCAGCATGGAGGTCATATTTTAAGTAGCGTTGGTTAATTTATTTGTTCGTTAGTCAGTTAGCAGGGTAACTCAAAAAGTTATGAACAAATTTTTACTGGAGGTGTGTCATAGCCCAACTTAGATTCCATTGAATTTTGGATGTGATCCGGATCATGGTCAGGATCCAGGATTTTTTTTAAAAGGATTCGTTACCAATGCCAGATAGGGAAACATGGGCGCCATTAGTGTCTGTTATTGTTCGTGTGAATATTTTTATTGCATCAGTGACCCTATAACTTCTGGGTGGTTCTAGTTGTATTTGTTTCTAAAGCACAAAAAAGAGAGCAACTTGCCCAGAATATTCATTCCTCATTGCTCAAAAGCATTAAACTTTTATTATGTAAGCCAGTGATATTAAGAAATGAGCCTTAATTGGTTCATTATTAAGTAATGGAATAATGCATAAAATAAAATTATTCCTACTTCTCCTTCTTACTTATTTCACTCTTTTATGTCTTGTATAAATATATATAGTTTAAGTTTGCATCATTATTTTACGAGTACCCTTCACGTTCACTAGACTATTTTAGATATGTAGCGTCAGTTGTACTGTAACACTCGCACACACACACATATATTATGTATAATTTATCATATATATATATAATATATATATATATATATATATATATATATATATATATATATATATATAATATAGATATAGATATATGTAATATAATATAATATTATTAATTATGTGTACACACAGACAGACAGACAGACAGACACAGACACAGACACAGACACAGACACAGACACAGACACAGACACACACACACACACACACCACACACACACACACACACAAACACCACACACACCACACACACGCACACAATGAATAATAATAATAAAATATATATGATAAAAAAAAAATATATATATATATCCATAATATATATACTAATAATAACCACAGTCGAAACTTTTATAATCGATAATGCTTTATTGTTTTCCAGCAAGGAATTCTTTTACTAAAATGTTCTAGTTACCATAAAATGTTTTGTTATTAAATAGTCGTTTAGGATTTTCTTCATGTTTAGCATTTCCTGAAGGCTAAAACGAGTGTTATAAACGCCACACCAATATACATGTATATTTTAATTGCAATTAGAAATGATACTTACAGTGATGTATGTAATTTTTTTAACACCACAAGCTTTTTTTTAACAGATTAAATCGCCTATAAAACGAAAACTAATTAACATAACTATAAAGAAGAGGCCACCATTTAGCAAACACAGACTCTTGCTCCTAGAAAAGCGTCGAGCTTGACCACCGATGACTGAAGCAATTCTCTTACTTGCCATACTCTGTACTTGCGAGAACATCTTGTACAAACGAAACAACACTGCACATGAAGGCTGCTCATACGTCTTGGAGTTGGAGTGCCTGCTCTTCACACTTAGTGCCTAGTTATGTCTTTTTTTCATTTCGACTACATACAGTAATTACTTCTGGATCATGATGTATATCTGTTTATATGAACTTTTTATTGATTTTCATCTTCATGCATGTGTACAACTGTGCATGTATACATACAAGTAGGTGTGCATGTACATTTGTATGCGAAGTATTACACCTACTCACTCACACAGACACACACGCATGTGAGTGTGAGTGTGAGTTTGTGTGTGTGTGTGTGTGTGTGTGTGTGTGTGTGTGTGTGTGTGTGTGTGTGTGTGTGTGTGTGTGTGTGTGTGTGGTGTGTGTGTGTGTGGTGTGTGTGTGTGTGTGTGTGTGTGGTGTGTGTGTGTGTGGTGTGGTGTTGTTGTGTGTGTGTGTGTGTGTGCACGAGTGTGAATGTGTGTGCGAGTGTATGTATATACACATTAGCTTATATACATAAACACATATACAAGTACATATACGAGCACACACATGTATATACATAGATATATAGATACATCAATATGAATTTATATATACAGATAAATATAAAATAACTTTCATCAGATTTGTATCCTATATGATTAATATCCTATACACCATGTCATAAAATGAGATTGGCACAACAGACATATTAAAATGATTGTATAAAAAAAAATCAAAACTGTTGTCATATACATCTCTAAATATAATTTTGTAGTATAAAATAATATGTATATAATGTTATCTCTCCAATTATACTTAATATTATTTTTTTCACAGACAAACTCTGCAG